AAAAAAAAAAGAAAAAGAAATTTAGAAAGTAATGAGTTTACCAGGCTGTAGCTGGCTCCTCATCTCAGCTGTAAGCTGAAGGCTCCAGGCTATGTTAGTCGTCACAAGAATTACACACCTGAATCTTTAACTGAACTTGAAGTAGCTGAAATGCATTGTGGGAAATGCTGGCACCAGGTTTTGACCAAGAGGCAGCCTCCAGGGTTGAAAAATGAAGCCAACACAGAAGTGCCCAAAACTACAGTTCCTTGAATGGCCACTTGAGGCTGGCTCCAGAAGCCAGTCAATCCCCATAGACCTCCATGTTAAAATGGCCATCTTCTGTTTTAGGCCTAATTGCGCATAGTTAAAAGGCAGGGCTGCTTTGAGTGACGGGCTGTCTGCCGACAGTGTCCACAGCTTGTCAGTCAGGTCCACCTGTCGCTCCACAGCACCAGCCTCTCGCCCAAATATGGTCACTTCTGGCTCCACAAAACCAAAATGACAACAGCCTAAATTTCGATCTCGAGGCTTCGAGATGGGAGTCTGCAAAATAATGGGTGACGTCACGGTAGCTACGTCCATTTTTTTCCCCCTATCTATGGTTTTCATTTTCATTTTCTTACAGATACAATGTTATTAAAATGTGCAAAACTAGGTTTATGTCACTACTTTGTTTACATCTATAACATGAGCTCACCTTGTAACATCATTTGTTGAAATGTCTGTATTACAGTGCACTGTATTTTAGTGCAGCCTAGTGAATATTAAGCTGTTGGAAACCACATAGAATGACTCGACTGTGGAAATACACTGTCTTCCCTTTTCCCAGAATATTTAGCTAATATTCACTGGTAGCAACAGTCAAAAGTGCAAAAATAAATGAATAGGAAAAACATCTACACTGCCTTGTCTGTGAATCACATTTATAAGGAGAGATTGGTTACGTTTCACTGGAACTCCAGAGGTTTCAGCAAGCCTTTATTTGGTGAGCTGTGATCTCAAGACACTGGACTAAAACATGACTTAAACCAAATACCATGCCTCCCTGTCCTCCCAGTGGATAGGCTTCTTGGTGTAAACAGTTTCTTGTTGCGGTATATAAACAACCAGATCCCTGTTTGTGTAGTCGTGCTGTCTGGCTGTCTTTCAAAGCCTGCCTTGCTTCAGGAGCACAGTGCTCGGCCAAATTTCAACTTAATGAAACACAACTGAACTGACAGAATCCTCCATTGCACCACATCTGCACTGATAACAGGGACTGATAGGATATGCAAATGCATGCTGTTCCTGGAAAGCCCAGCGCATAAAGTACCAATACCACAATGTAAAAAGTATTATATGGAAAATACATTAAAAGTAAAAGGAATCATCATGCAAGAAAATGCCCCCCATGACTGATGTTGTTATACATTATATATTAGATTGTTAATCAATGTCTGAGTAGAATTCGACAGCCGATCAGTCGGCCCCCTTTGAAAAGGTCAAGATAAATCTGATTTCTGCCACAAAAGTTTGTCATTATATATTGTCTTTTATAAGAAAAGTTGGATCATTTTCCCTCTTTATTATTCAAATTAAAACATCCGACAGGTTCAGAGCAGACATGTTGACAACACAGTATTTCCATTTAGTCACCTAAACATTCAGATGTAGTTTAATCTACAGTATGTATTGATCTTGTTTGAACTCTCAGTGCTGCGTACAGCCACAATGAAAGCATTGGATGCTATTTTGATTTGTAGCACGGCATAGCATGTTCTACTAGGAAACATTTGCATTGCGGGGCTTATCTCAGTTCAACAGAACAGGGCTCTCCATTTCCATTCCCATTCAGGTTTGGACACTGGCACACCAGGATGGACGCAGCTTCTCTAAACCAGACAAACATGAGTGCACCTGCTTCCTGCGGCGTAGAGTCCTTGGTGGAGAAACTCATGTATCCAACTGTCTATTCTCTTTTCTTTATCGTTGGCTTTCCGGCTAACTGCCTGTCTCTGTACGTAGCCTGGATTCTGATGAGGAAAGGGAACAATATGGCGGTCTACCTCGTCAACCTGTCCATCTCTGACCTGCTCTACACGATCACTCTGCCCGTGTGGATTGAGCTGGCTCTGAAGAGGCCCCTGGGTAGCCTCTGCAGTTTGGTGGCTGTGATCATGCACAACAGCTTCTACGTCGGCTCAGGCCTCCTTTGCTGCATCTCCGTTGATCGCTATCTTGCATTGGTCTACCCTCTCCGCTTTCACCGCATCCGAGAGGTGCGGACAGCAGCACTTGTGAGTATTGCTGTTTGGGCTTTGGAGATTGCCATCCACATCATCTTCCTTGACCACACGGGGGCGCTGCAAGCTTTCTCCTCAAGAAACCTGTGTGAGGAGCAGATCCCCATGACACAAGAAGTTGCAGACCTCACCCTCACACGAGTCACCCTGGGGTTTTTGGTCCCTACTTTCATCATGACCTTCTGTTTTCAGCAGATCATGCAGTCACTCCGACGGAGCACCTCCATCCTGACAGAGGAGCGCAGGAAAGTGGGACTGCTTTTGTTTTTCCTTCTGCTCACATACATTGTGGCGTTTTTGCCCTACCAGATTGTCATGCTGCTCAGGGCCATACTGGAGCCCAGGACCTGCGTCTGGGCCGCAAGGCTCAGAGATCCGTACCTGGTCACAGTTGCCACGACCACCATAAACAGTACCCTGGATCCTATAATATACTGTTTAATCAGTGAGAGTGCTCAGAGAGAGATCGGGAATGCTGTAGAGAAATGTCGGGGAGTTTTTGTTAAGAAGAAATGGGCAAAGAATAATGGAATTGAGTCAGTTTCCTAACAATAGAATTACCTATTTGTTTATATTTTCATCCTTAATTTGCTATGTGATTGTGTATTTTAAGAGGTAATATCAAATCTAAGCATTCATATACTGATGCCTTTTTACTGATAATGTTATGCGGATGCAATGTGATGTTATATTGATTATGCCCACACACTTCTGAACCAAACCTACACCACTGTGTTGATGGTTTATTGGTCAAACCATATCTTTTATTACACTAATGTACAATGGTTGACTCTGGAAAAGACTGATCTGATAGTTTATTATTTAATTTAAATAGCAGACGTTTAAAACAGCCTTCTCTGGGTTGTGGGTTTTTTTTTTGTTTGTTTAGTTTTTTTGCATTATTCCATTAATTAAAGATTAGGTTCAGAAGTCTTTCTGAACACAGTCCTTACATGCCCATAGGTACATGGATCTCATGCAAGAAATGATATACAAGCAGATTTTCTGTTTGTTCTTATTTTTGTTAGTGCCCATTGACTTCTGGAATTCACCTGCGTTTTCTTAATTTTCCTTTTCTCTTAGGTAAGAGAAAATTTTATGAGTGGTTGAGAGCACTCTTACCAAAATAAGAGATAAACATCTGCTTTTCACAGTCCACAAATTGTTGTCCAACACAAGGGAAAAATGCGTTTTATGTTTGAGGAACATTTAGAAAATGTATGAATATAATATAATCAATTTTAAATCATGAATTAAAGTAATCCAAGGCTAAAAAATTGACCATTGTACATTAGTATTTTAATTTCTTGCCACTACTTCTACTCCATTACACTTCAGAGGGAAAATATTGTTCCTTTATTCCATTACAAGTGTTTATTATTAAGTTACTAAATAGATTACAAATTAAGATTTTTGCAAACAAACCTCATGAAAACACACAAGTGCACCTGAAACTATAAGTTGATTATTAGGAAATTAATTGACAACTATTTTCATAATCATTTAAGTTAGTGGTTCCCAACTGGTCCAGCCATGGGGTCCAGATTTCTCCTTAGTCATTAGTTCAAAGTCCACACAGTCTAATTTATTCAGCGTCATACTTAGATTTGATCAGTGTTGGCTAAGGGTTACTTTAAAAGTAATCAAAGTATGTTACTGTGTTACTTTCTAAAAAGTAACCAGTTACTTTACTGCGTTACTCCCTGAGTAAAGTAACTCAATTACTTTAAAAGTACTTCCAACGTTACTCCCTGAGAAAAGTAACTCAAACACTTTTAAAGTACTTTTGAGTATTCTACATTTCCTATTGGGCAATGGACCACAGGGCTCTAAGCCTACATTTTTTGTCTCCAAAATTAAAGTTATGGACCACTTGCCCTTCACTGAGATCCAATTCTCCCATCACTGCCGTCACTTTGACCAGTAGAAACACAGAACTATCTGCTGCCGTAGACAACTGTATGACAACATCTCCCCAGCATTTTTAATATTTCCTCTAGGGATGTTACCACACAGAGTAAAAGGGGGAAATGATGGTGTGAAACAGCAGAGGCACTTTGTCAATCCGCTGAGTTAATGTTACTTTCATTAGCATCAAGCTAGCAAACAATGTTACATCCTCATGGTCGGACATAAAGTAATAACATTAACAAATAGCGGCGGGGCTTTTACTCACCACAACTGCAGAGGCTCCCAGCTTCATTTGAAACAAACTACATTATAGACGGTCCGTTATTCATTAATCCCTCTGTGTATTTATATATTTACTTTTTATCCGCTCTGTTGTCTTTGTAAAGTTAACATATCGCACCGTCATTTCAAACTCAACACTTGTTTCAAATTAAAAGCCCCTTGTAACCTCGGCTAGAGAATCCCTCCATTTTCTAAATAGGCTTTTATTCTGAAACATTTGTCAGAACTTCCTGTGGAAGATACAGTAGCTTGATAGTTTTCATATGGCGCTTCAAATGTAGCTCCTGCCATCTGCTGACGCTTTTAGGTGACTACAACAACATGTCGGCTGGCACATGAACAGACATAGTGAGGCATAATGCAAGTCCTGAGTCTGAAATATGTCTGTCAGCGAGTCCTGCTCCACCTACTACCTTAGACTCCACCATAGACAATGGCAGCATTTCTCTGACCACTTAGCGAGCCACAAGCTCCGTGGCTTCTTTCAGACTGATAGGTTTAACGTTATCTCCGTTATTAGAACCAAACGACAGCTGTTGCTGTTTCTGAGCTGAATGACCAGCTTTTTAAAAGTAACGTAATTAACTGATGTCTTGTTTGAAAATGTATTTAAGTATTTGATTACTCAAACAGCAAACTAACGCGTTATGTTACTTGTTACTGCAAAAAGTAATCAAAGTACTCTAACGCGTTACTTTGTAACGCATTATACCCAACTCTGGATTTGACAGCGTCGTCGAGCTAGTTTGCTGTCTCTGTTACGTAGCTTTCCGTTGGTCACTCACTCTACAGCAGGAAACAGCATTTCCAAATAAATTCTCTGTGCCTGAAATTCACTGTACTTAAAAATAAAGTGTGTTTTTACAAACTTGACATGTTTGGGAGTGACTTGTGGCCCATTCAGAATGGACCCGTGACCCATCCATTCAGAAAAAATCATGGTTCCAGCTTCTCAGATATGTTTGTGAGGACTTGTTGCTTTTCCTTTTAATTTCATTAGTTTTGATTTATTGGTTTAAACTTTTCTGCATTGAGTACTTTTACTTTTTATACTTCAGTATTGTACTCACATACTTTTACTTTAGTAAAATGTTAATGCAGAGCTTTTACTAGCAACAGAGTGTTTTTTACAGTGTGGTATTAATGCTTTTACTAGGATCTGAATACTTTCTCACTGATGCCGACACGGCAAATGTTTTGTTATTGTTGGGTTTTTGATTTTACTGTAACACAATTAAAAACACCGTAAAAGTCACGTTTATTTTATTTAAGTTTATGTACCTGTATTTCACTACCGCTGAAGTTCTTCTTCATACAGCTTTTTTATGGTGACACCAATCTTGGACATGTGCCAGAGTCTGCACACACAGCACAACACTAGCCCTTATACAGTGTTTAGGGGCCGTTAACTATACTAATAGGTGATTTATGATCAAGTGATTCACCATCCAGAACACCTGGGTAAGAGCATATGTGAATGGTTAAGATAATTTGGTGCATCTGGAGTTGACTTCTCTTCTATTTTCTCTTACCAGGAAATTAAGAGAAAATATAAGTGACATTTAAGAGAATGTTGCTACATAAGGTCCAGTGTCTTTTTAGCAGAAAATTCTCTCTTTGTGTTTCCACAGACCGACTGTTTCCTGAGCCACGTTAGAGGATCATGAACAGAATGAGCTATATTGGCCGTGTGTGTGTGCACATACAAGGAATTTGAATGCAGTCTTTGGTTGCCTTAATGTACACAAAATAGACATACAGCTAGTTAAACAGGTTGCATACATACAGAGGTAGGTGGATATGACAGTATACAGTGTCCACAGCACGCTCTCATTAGCGGTAGTAATACATAGGAGATTTTGGTGCTTATTTGAAAGAAAGATCTCCATTTAACTTCGCTGAAGCCTCCCATTGACTGAAATTGAAATTACTTTAAGATGGAATCTGTTTGTTGCCAGCATTGGCAATTACAGCAACCAATAATGCTTTTATGTATACAGTACATGGACATGTGAAAAATATATGTACTTATCTTTTAGAGCACATATAGGTTCAGCCATAACAACATAACTATGCTATGGAAACAATTCGTCAAACAGACACGTATTTATTTATCAGACTACCTGAGTCCATTTCGATATTGACACAACAAACACAAGATTACCCAAATTAAATCTCCTGTGCAGTCCTCTAACACCGGTAGTTTGTTCTGTCGTGGCCTGTCACCCAGTAAATGACATACGGTAGTCAGGGACGACAAGGATACATCTGCTGTCTCTTCCTGTTTCCTGAAGCTGGCTGATCAAGCAGTGAAAGACGAGACAACTGAATGTGTCCACTCTGCACCCGTTTTAGTGTTTTTATTTTCATAATAATGAAATGTATGGACAGAATTTGGAGCAGAAGCACAACTGAATAAAGGGTAAGTATGCCTTCATATGAGTTGGACTGAATTTAAGCTTTTCCTTATGAAGTACTTGCTGAGATTAAGTTTGTTTCTAATTGACATTTGAAGACTTAAAAGGATCATTTTACAGGTTTTTCATGTTTTTGCACATTAGGCAGCCTGTTACTGGTGTATAGGCCTGGTCTAAATTATTGTTAATTGAGCATAAATTTAACTTTTCTGTGGAAGGTGGTTTTGAATCATTTCAGCAAAACTAAAAGACAAAACTTATATTTAGACTTGAAATTTGCTCTAGAATACATCACAAATAACACATGATCAACAGTTGTTTTTGTAACACCACGTTTTTGTCATGTGCAGGATGTGTTGTGAAATGACCTCCTGCCAAAAAAGTGCAACATCGGAGATTTTAGAACCAGCTACATGACATGTTAATGATAATGGCAGACCACTTTTAGTAGTCTGACAATAGGAAATAGTGCAACTTAAACAAAAAATAAATAAATAATGATCAAAGTTACACCCTACAAGCTGATTTTCCAAATTTACTGAAATGTAACACCAAAAGTTTCCTGGGAGGTGGAAACAAATCTCTAAGACCGAACATTCAACAGTAAGGTGAAGCAATTTGTAATTAAAGTTGCTAAAGCCAGTAAAACTCCCCGAGTGGTACTTCAAAAAGTCACGTCAGCGATTCAGTACGTTGGGTCAAGCCTAAATCCAGTTCCCATGATGCAACTCAATAGCATCTTTCAATAGAAGTGCTAAATACCCTTAAAAGGACCATTTCAGCCCCCAAATGATTTTTTTCACTCTGTATGGTGAATTCATGAAGAATAGTTTGTCTTGCATGCCTCTGAATGAAAAATCTAAATTTTTGACGAACTGAAGTCAGAGTGTTTAACTACAGCTAAACTATATCAAAACATTTTTTATGTTATTGTGTGACTTTGGTTTTTTAAAGGGTTAGCTCAGATTCACCAAAGTCACACAATAACACAAACAAACTCATAAAGGCAGTGGTAGACCAACAGCTCCGTTTTTCAGCGAGATAAAATGACTATTTTTGTCACTAGAGTCTGGTTTCAAAGAGAGCAAAGATCAGGTTTCACTTTTAGTTCAGTTCCTTGTTGGACAAGGCTGTCTGTTTAAGAAGTACTGAGCATAAACTGAAAAAAATGAGACTTGGATTACCCTGCACAAGTTGTGGAAGAGTTTTTTAACTGATACTTTAATATAGTTTGGCTGTTGATACTTATTACTTCAATTCATCAAGAATTTTCTCTGTTTTGGAACTCTGTGTGCAAGAAAAACAAAGGGGATTAAATGTTCCCTTAATTTCCAGACTTTAAAAAGCTGCCAACAATGCCACAGAAGACATTATTCAACTGTTCTCACAGTAAATGAAACTTAAAGGGGAAATACACCCATTGTAAAAATCCATACATGTTATTCCTGTGGTCTAAGATAGTCCAAAAATATTAGTAAAAAAAACTCTCAAATCCAAAAAAGTGTGATGTCATGAAATAAAAAATAACTAAAGTCTGAAGCTACTCCATAGCCTCCGGTTTTGTATGCGTTTTTAATTCATCCTAGCTATTTGGGATCAAAAGGACCCAATAAGTAATAAAAACTAAACACTATCAGTGATAATTAAGCCCCAATGTCCTCAAACGAGACGATAATAACATCTCAATGTCTTTAAACAAGTACTTCCTAATTAACAGTGTCGCTAAACTTGGCCAGATGTGTTGCCATATCAAACTGCAAGCATTATTAATCATAATAAACAAGTTTCAACCTTAAAAGAATGCTGCTGCTCGCCTTTTGACTGGCACCAAAAAACGTGAACACATCACCCCTGTTCTGGCCTCCCTCCACTGGCTTCCCATCCGTTTTAGAATTGATTTTAAAGTGTTATTAATTGTTTTTAAGATTTGAACTGGTCTGGCTCCCCTATATCTTGCAGAACTTATTCAGGTCCGAAATCCTGCCAGAGCTCTACGTTCGTCCAGACAACTGTTGCTGGATATACCAAGATCTAAATTAAAGACTAAAAGCGACCGTGCCTTCTCTGTAGCTGCTCCCAAGCTCTGGAATAGCCTGCCACTACATATTAGACATGCAGGATCCGTGGTGAGGTTTAAGTCTGCCTTAAAGACCCATCTATTCTCCCTTGCCTTCGGATCCACAGGACCCTCTACCTTAGCCTAGTTTTTTCTTTTTTGTGTATGCGCATATGTATGTATATGTCTATATACATTATGTGTGTACATGTATATGGGTGTATGTGTGTGTGCGTATTGACTCTGCGTATATGCATGTATGTATTTTTTATATTTGTATATATTTTTTACTTCTGCACTGTAAAGCACTTTGGCTGACCGTGACAGGTCTTTTAAACATGCTATATAGATAAAAGTGAACTTGAACTAAAACGTTTTGGACCTTGTCCACTTTTGTGTCGGGATCGGCTGCAGACTGACTTGGCAGAGACAGCTGCCATTTTGTTTTTACATGGATTAGTGTACTGTGCTCTTACTACCACTAGATGGCACAAAAAGTGTCTACAATCGAGGACAATGGGTCTGAGTTAAGTAGAATAAAATATAGGGTCAAGTCCAAAATGTGATGTCCGGCAAATATGAGGACACAGGGTCTCAGGAGGATAGACCATGAATTGGGGAAGATGTTAGATGACACAGAGCACCCAGGGGAATGCTCTGAGTTATGGGTACATTTTCTGTTTCAGAACTGAGAACACTACAATAAAATAAAGCTCATTTGGGTACAAAGACAAAGAAATCAAACATTTTGTGGGTCCACAAAATCAATCTCCTTTTCATTGTCTATGGAGCAGCTTCAGACTTTATACCCTATGACATCACAGTTTGAGACTTCTCTGGTTTCTGGCCTTGAGAGAGAGTAGCTCAGAAATAATTTAAGTTTCCTTGGCCATGGAAAAAACAGATTGGAATTCTTAATTTGGGTGGTGTTCACCTTTAAAGTGCAAAATCTCAACGTGTAGGTGTTCAGTGCATTTTTGTATTCCATCCTTATTTCCTTCCATGTCTCTCTACAAGGTGTGAACACATGAACGCCACATCCACAATGGAAAACCTAACCCTGGCCTCCAACCATTCAGAATGCTATACGATTGACAGCGAATACAGGAGGAGGCCGTTTCTGTTTTTCTACCTGGCTATCATCGTCACTGCCATCCCATCCAACGCCTTCTCCCTCTACGTGTCCTGGCAGCACATCAGACAGAAGAACGAGCTCGGTGTGTATCTGTTCAACTTGGCCCTGAGTGACCTGACCTTCACTATCGGCCTTTCGCTGTGGCTGGACTTCCTGTGGAAAGGAGTTTGGGCTCACGGAGGCTACGTGTGTGTGCTGTCTGTCTACTTTCTCTTCACTAACTTCTACACCAGCGATGCTCTCCTCTGCTGCATTGCTATCGACCGCTACCTGGCAGTGGTTCACCCATTAAAGTATACTTTCTTGAGGAAAGTTAGCACTGCAGCAGCAGTCAGTGTTGCTATTTGGGTGTTGGTGGTCTGTTTCAACGTCTTCACTGTCACCTGGGAGGACTCATACTATGAGAACAACAAGTTTTCAGTGTGCTTCGATGTCTTCCTCCCACAGTCAGAGAGCCTGGCTCGGGCTAATGTAGCGCGCTTCATCCTGGGCTTCATTCTCCCCGTTCTCCTGGTGATGTTTACCACCTGGGGGATCTGTAAGGCGGTGAAATCCAATCAGGCCACAGAGGAACAGGAACGTAAGCGGATTTCAAAGCTGCTGACGGTAGTTCTGCTCTGCCTTGTGCTCTGCTTTGGACCTATCCATGTTATGATGCTACTCCGCACACTAGTGGAAGACTGCAGGAAAGTTGCATGGCTCCATTATCCGTTCAAGTTCAGCATAGCTGTCTCAACCCTCAACTGCCTTGCAGACCCTCTCCTCTACTGCTTCATTACTAGAACAGGGAAAGCAAATGTCAATCAGGTTGTTCTCTTCTTCCAGGTAAAGAAGAAGAGCAAAGATGAAGATGTGGTGTAGGTAAAATAAAGTATAGGACTTAATATAACTCCCTTGTGGTTAACTTAACAGTTAGACATTAAACAGTAGGATATGACCCAGAAGATAACAACTCAGTTATAGATACTGCTTCAACAACCCAATCTCACTCCGAAGTTGTCAAAATCCAGGGCTTGGACAGTGACTTGCGGCGTCAGACATTGACAAAAAAGCCATCCTTTAACGTCAGCATGATGACACTTTAATGGTGCTTGGCAGCATCAGGGGGAAACGTAACGGGACAACAACGAAAGTTAAGGAAACAAAAGTCTAAGTGGGGTGGGCGGATGGGTCCAACAAACACAGACTTTCACCCGGGAGAGTGGTGTTTGTGTCTCATAGGATTACAAAGCCAAGCCCTGTTCTTTTTTCCTGAACCCAACCATGTATGTTCGTTGTTGAAGGGAAAAAATAATAATTTGCGGTGTTTTATCGCCGTCGTGCCTTTATTTTGAAAGAGACTGTGCGTAAATGGTTCATTTCCTGTGTAAACGGAAGTGTATTTTGAAAGAAGACAATGCATGTAACACCATACCTTGACATGGCATCCCAGAACGTCAACCTCCAACGCACCCAGGGTACTTTTTATTTTGTATCTGGAGGTGGAAAGTCCATGACAAAATGTCAATATGAGACAAGGTCGCAGTGAGAATGTGTTGGCTTCAAATGTGAGGTAATTCTCATTGAGCAAAAGTTTTTGTTATTGTCATCAAATGTCATTAAAGGTCCAAAACCAGCAATCTGTTAGTCTGTCTAAAAACTTTCTGATACCTTGTCTCTAAAACTTTGACTCAACCCCACCAGTGTTGGAGGAAGTGTTCAGATATTAGTTAGGTAAAAGTACTGATACCACGCTACGAAAATGCACCACAACAAGTATGTGTAAAATTTACCTTAAATATCAAACGTTGTATCACTCAGTGGGCCTCATTCACCAATCTGTGCACAGAAATGTTCCTACTCTCCGTATAAAACAAGTGTGCACACAAAACTACTGTTGGATTAATGACGCAAATGTGCTGGCCAATTTGTTCCTACCATCATGGCATGTTTGTAAATCAGAGTCACTGTAATTGACAGGCGCGTGCCCACTATTTGCACACTGCCACCTATTTCTCAACAGGAAGTACAGTATGTGTGCCTGGAGGTGTATCATGGAGAAAGCAATAAAGTTGTGTACACGCACATATTAAGGCCCTGACACCTTAGTGTGGGGCCGTTGGTGAGCATCTGTGAATATCTTTGCGGTCAGAAACAGCTGAGAGGCTGTTAAATATTTTTCTTTATTAAGACATTTTTTGATTAATGCAGTTTTAATATGCTATGGATTTAATTAAAAGGTGTGTTTTTACATTTTCCAAGACAGCAGGGCCTTCACAACTGTGCATACAAAAAGCCTGAGGCAGTTTTAAATTTGTTTGCAATGTATGAACAAATTCAGGTACACACCTATGGGCAAATTAGAGTCACCAATTAACCTGACTTGCATGTCTTTGAACTGAGGGAGGAAGCCGGAGTACCCAGAAGGGACCCACACTGACATGGAGAGAACATGCAAGCTCAGAACAGCTTGGGTTTGAACCAGGAATCTTCTTGCTGCACCACTGTGCCACCCCCATGGTCACTGTTCAGTGTTTCACTATTATAAAGGATGTTTCTGGGTTGAATTAACTACTTAAAATACTATTGGGTAGTTCATTCTACAGCAATGCATCATATTCTACAGTATAAATCATCATATGTTTTTAGTGTGGCTGTCGTGTGAGATCCACATATGTCCTACAGTCAACTTTTCATGAGCTCAGAAAAAGCAGCCTTGTTTCACCTTTGTGAGGACGCATTTTCCAGCTGATCCAAGAGGGTTTTTAAAGAGTTTATTTATCTTTGAAAGTAGAAGAATTTCCTTAACAGCCCACAAAGGAATACTTAATCCTTTAGTTAATCTGAAAAATTCCAACCAGATTTAGAGATACATGGTTTTTACTGCACATGAAGGCTGTGAAACACCTAAACCTCAAAGGAGACCAGCTGTCACACAAAAATGAGTGGAGTAAATAGCTAGGGCAAAGCCAGATCTTGCAAACAGTCGGGGCTTAGCCCAAACCTAAGTGGGGTCAAAGGCATGCGATTTCCTTTTATGGTAGGAACATGCACTTTGAGATGATAGAATGTCTAAAAATCTGTACATTCTTTAGGAAGCTGCTAGCTGCTGAAGAAGAAAAGTCATCCTGTTGATCCTGCATGGTATTTTGAATGTAATTGTTCCCCAACTGTCTTCATCATTCTGAAACCATAACACAGCAAATATTGAGGATGACTAATTTTCACTGTTGACAAAGAAAAAGAGGCAAAAATTGTCTGACGTTACCATTTTTGAGTTACATAACAATTGTTAAGTAGGAGTTTGGTGTAAACAGCTAGCCTGTTCTTATTCCAAAGTCATCAATTACTGTTGCTTTGTCAGTTCTTTCGGTGTCATACACCTAAAGCCATCTTTCACAGCAGTGTGATACTGGACCAAACCTTTCGCAGTGTTATGATAAGCCACCAGTTGGCCAGACAGCACCTGTCACAGCAGTACAATACATGGACAGGAAGCATCAGTTCATAACATGGTCACACAGCACCTGCTGCAGTGGTATGATACACCACTGGACACTGTCAGGTCATTCTCAGAACCCAAAGGCTGTATTCAGCGTCTGACTTCCGGCAGACGGCGATACAGCCTCTGGGGGCAGACCCCCGATTTTTTGGCATTCCGGTTTGATTTGGGCGGAGGAGGCGAATTTCCGTTTCCGACTTCCGTTTATATATAAGTAAATATGCTGAAACATTGCGATGGATTCAGAGTTTGCAGTGACACCAATTATGTTCCGCCTTGTTAGTTCACCGCACGGACCGCTTAACCTGGCAACAACTGCAGCCGGCTCAAACGTCATTGGTCAATATCACGCGGACTACAAACAGCCTAGCACCTGAAACCAGGGCTCTTCCGCTCTTCTTCCGGAGGCAAGATCTGCAGGGTTTGCCTACAGACTCTACATTCACTGAATGTAGAGTCTGTATATAGAGACTACTGTCAGGTTGAAACACTGCCAGCAGCAATGTCATATAAGCAGCTGGAAAATCACTACAGGTTGGGTGGGAGGGATGGTGGATGGGTCAAACAAGCCCCTGACTTTCACCTGGGAGGCTGGTGTTCACTTCCTGTATGAATATACAGCCAAACCATGATGTTTTTATCTAAACCTAAGTACATGCCTTAACTTCACCATGTGCTTTTGTTGACGCCCTGACACTGGTTACAGTGCTCGTAACATGACACAAGAGGAGAAAGTTGGGATATGTGATGACTTGGGATGAGAACGTGCTGAAATAACATTACTAATAGAGAAGCAGTTGAATTGCCAGACTAGTCAGAGAGACTCTCTCCCCTACTGGCAAAAAGTACAATATTCGTCCCTGAGATGTAGAGCAGATGTATAATGTTGCATAAAATGGAAATACACACATAAAGTACAATTATGTTGAATTTGTACTTAAGTACAGTACTAGATTAAATATACTACTTTCTACCAGTGAACCTTAAACATTACCCATGAAAACATCTTTAAAGACATGCAAATATTTTTCAGTTTAATGTATAAATACTGGACACAAGATCCCTCCTAGTTTTAAAGTGGTTGAAAGTCCATTCTCAGTACAGTACGTCTGCCATGTCACACTTGTGCAAGTTTCTATCGGAGCCTTATTGACTGCCAAAATAATTGTGAGGCCACAAAATCATGGTTGCACACTAACATCTTAAACTTTAGTTCACTAGCAAGGACCACGCCAACAATATGTCGTTTGAATGTTTAATTGTAACTCAGGAGGTGTTAGATGTTGAGGACTCTGCACATCATTTTGTCTACCCCCGGCATGTTTAAACTAACTGTTTGTTTTGCTTGTATTCTACATCACTGCTGTCGAGGTACACTGCATGCTGTGTGCCTTTTTTTTTTTGTTATCAGCAGTGAGTCATGGGAAACACCTGTTCCACAGTGGAGCATTTGTCTGATATGACAGTTGTTCCGTTCTGTGAAACCTTGTTGAAACAGGTCAAAAGAAAAACATGTTTAAATGCAAATTTGTCCCTATTCATCATTTGAATTCAGTCTCAGTGTGAAAAGATCAGCAGATCAGGGGAAAAAAAGTGGTGTGACTTGTCATTGGACTACATGACGACACATTTGACTGCGTGTTTCACTTCAGTTTTTGTGTATTTTTGTGGAAGTGTGGATCAGATGTCATGGGAAGAAAACAAGATTTTCTCTTTTCCATAAGTGCCATCATCCCATTACAAAACACTGGAAGGACATATCAGGAGATTTATATAAAAGTTAATCACTTACTTATAACAAATTATGACTCAAAAATGCTGTGAATTCACAAATAAAGGGGTCAAGAAGCTTTTCAGTAATATACAATATCCAATCTGTGAATGTCTTTACTTAAAATGAAACTGTATATGTTTGAGTTCAATGTTTTTTGTGAGGAAAATGTTATTTTAAATTCTTGACATGGTTGCAAACTGCTCATGCAATCAACATTTGGCGTTTTGTGCATTCCTCAGAAAAAATAAAAGTCATAAGAAGAGAGTGTGCTTTGATTCTGATAATCATTCCACAATACTGTCATTTTAAAATGAGTAGAGTAAAATATGAAAATATTTTATACAATTCTTCTACTTTATCTGTAGGTCTGTGTGTCTTGTGTCTTCACATACTGCAAGTGCTTCTGAATTCTGGTCTAAGGTGTGGCAGACTGAATGTGGGTTTCTGAAGCCCTCTAGTGGACAAATATGGAAGTGCAACAAATTGTGAATACTGTCAACACTTGGAATAGTTGATCATTTCTGATATGAATCTCTTTTCTGTTGCCTTTCCACAAATTGTTATATTACATAAATTGTGGTGTGTTATTAGAGAAATCAAACCTAACACAGAATACATACATGCTATAAACACTGTCCTCTGATATCTTTGCTTTAACAATGTGATATCTCCCCCTTTTCCCACACATACTCACAATTACCGGTACATACACACACACACACACACACACACACACACACACACACACACACACACACACACAGATTTTAAAAGACTGAGGCAACGCTATCCTACACTCATCACTTTGACGTGAGGAAACACCAGAGAGAAGATAATCAATAGAGAGATAAAGATAGGTGTATAAATTAAAATTCAGTAAATATCTTACAGATGAAAATAATAAAATAAATTATGGCTGTTGCGCAGCGATGGGTCGGGTCCGGGCATTATTAGGCAATTCTGAGCAA